CGAAGTATCGATTGTTAATCTTTTGGTAGCGTGTAAGAGACGTACCGCGTATATATGAAGTATATAGCGTGTAACAGAAATAACGGATGCGGCAACCTAGTATATAATACAACAGTAAATAAATATATAGATAAGATATGTTTTATACGCTGCATGTCATCCCTAGTGGAATAACGTGATCATTGTAAACGTGTCGTTCGAAGTCAGGTTAATAATTATAAGCGATGTACGATTATACGCGCGCATGACGTAACCGCCGATGATGCAGGACACATACACACGTACACATATAACACGCGCGCTATCCGCAAGGCTTTTCGATCTCTCGCGAATCTCGGTGTATGAGCATTTGCGCTCTCCTTTCGATCTCTCCGAACGGAACCCAGGTAGCAAGCTACGCTCATTTTTAACGTCAAAAAAATGACGCCTTTAATGTCGCTTTGACGTTAAAATGATGACAAATAATGCCAGCCCAGGTAGAACACAATAGATAGAATCATAATAGATGCCGTAAAGGATGTCATGGCTTTATTTCTTATACAGCACAGATTATTCTAGTAACATTACAACGTTTCAGCAATATTGCGCACGTTGCGGCAATGTTGTCGCAAGCTTCTGTGCTGCATGGATTGTGAAATCCAGAACAAATCACGATACGTCAAAATAAGGTTAAAATGTATTGTTTATGATGGAAAAGTAACTTTTAACAATCATTTTGAAGTCATTTTGATTTGTGTTCTGCTTGAATATATATATAAATCCAAGCAGAGTAATAAGTCACGATTAACTAACGTTAAAATGATGCCGAGATTAATTGTGACTGAAGAAAAGGGACTTTTAATAATCATTTCGGAGCCACTTTGATGTCACTGACTTTTTATTCTACTTGAGTTATAAGTCAGTAATGAGATAAATAAGATTATGATGATGTCCTTATAACTTTTGTATTCTACCTCGGAGCTTGCTACTTAGGAATTGTCCCTCACGCTACGATCACCCGAGGGATTCAATCGCGTGAATTCTCTGTAAAGAGAGGGCAGAACTCTTTCGCGTCAAGTGAATCAAATAGACCCGTTCTTTTTAGCTGAACTGTTCGCACCGTTTATCTCTTCTTTTTTTTTCTAATGTGGGAAGAAAAAGAAGAAAGATGAACTATATAAGAAAAGTACAGTTTTTAGTTGAAAAGGGCTTATCTTTTATGCCCATTTCCATCAATATAGATTAATTGAAATCTTGGTTCAACTTCCTGATTTTTGTCTAATTCTTAGAACTAGAAAAAAAATGAAGAGTAAGTTGAAGCAATTTTAAAATTAATCTTCATTAGTAGAAATGTGCATTAGTAGCGTCTAAGAATGAGATTTATATTCCCCAGGTAGCAAGGTAACATTATTTGTCGTCGTTTTGATGTGAAAATGACGACAAACTAATGGCTTTCCAACAAGAGATACAGAATGCGTTCCACTTAACGTCCGCAATGCTCGCGAGCATCATTTCATCCTCATTGTAATCGAATGTCAAACAAGGATGAAATAATGTACCCGAGCGGACGTTAAGTGGAACCCACAGTATAACACAGTAATTATTTCATCTTTGTTTAACATCGGCAAACAATTCAGATGTAATGATTCACTGTGTTACACCGTGTCATCTATGTCTCCTGCTGGAAAGCATCCAACTTCAGCTTACTACCTGAATCGAAACGAGTGAGAAGCGAGAGGGTTCTGCCAATGGTTCCCACGGTTGATCATCGTCCGATGCACGAGCTAAACTCAAAATACAAAGTCAATCGCAGTGCCTGAAATGTTACGAAGCTAATCCATGTAGTCGTGTCGAACGCGAGCTTTCCCGCGCGCGACAGATTGTAACGCTAACGTAGAACGATATGTTTGGCTGAACCAAAATGTAGCGCGGCATCCGGGCGAGTTGGTAGGTCGTAACGCGTGTCAACGACAACCGGCCGGAGGAGATTCGCAGAGACGTCTATTATATTAGCCGCCGTAAACCGCCGTCAATCGGGATATCATTGTCCGTTGGTTAATCGCGTTGCGTCAGCCCGCAACTTCGATCAGCCCGCGAGAGACGGAAGAGCCTTGTCGGGAATCCCTTTGACTTGGACGTACAGGATTCGCTCGGACGATCTTCAGACTTGCGATAATCTGTCTGAATTTTCGCGAATCGAGGGAACGAAGTACCGTCACACTTTCGATGATCGCCACTTACAGTTTAATCAATTGTAATAATCCGCAGTTGTCACCGTTGAATCGTGTTGTAACGGTTAATTAAGAAGATAAGAGATCGAAGCGTTGATGCCGCTGAGTGATCGTGCAAGTGTTTGGCTGTGCAAGAGAGAAAGCTGACTAGGGTCTGATTAGGAAGGCTGTGAATAGGATGAGAAGAGAGAAGGAAGGAAGAAAGGAGCGAGCGAGAGTAAAGAATGAAAGGGCGAGAGAGTGTATGTGTGAGAAAGGAAAAAAAAAGAGTATGAGAGAGATAAAGATATTAATCGAAGTCAGCGAAAGTATCTCGGTATCCGCTGCGTGTATCGACGGATTGACGCGATCAGTCTCGTAATAATCGCGACATACTGAGAACGATTCGGAACGGATCGGGTCGGTCCGTTATTAGCTATTTATTCCCACCTAGCGAACAAACTGATGTTATTTGTCGTCATTTTTGATATCAAAATGACGACAAATAACGTCAGTTTACTTGCTGGGCATACGGCATACTTTATCTGAGGGATGTTCTGAGAAACGTTCTCAGCATGCTCTAAGAGTATCCTTCGGACATTCCGAGAATATCCTTAGGACATGGACCGCGTTTTCTGGACGTCTTTAGGACATTCATTGGGGATCTGTGCTGTATGAATTTTAAGAAATAAACGAAAACTCCAAAAAATATTTCTCGCGTACAACACAACAGCATTCATGGTCTACACGTGTCGGCCTACACGTGCCTCCCGACAATCTCGATGGCTATCGAGAGGATGTCGTCGAGAAAGAAGAAAAAGAAAAGAAAAAAATGAAAAAAAAAAAGAAATCAGATGAAACAGAATCGCGTACGAATACTGTAGCTAATTATATTGACACTTCGCTGCTTCGAGAAGCTGCAGTCTACCATGTATATATTTTCATTAATGTATGTATAATAAAAATATATTCGAGACAAAATCTCTGCGATTGTTATTTCACGCGCGTTCCGCATTCTTGTCGCGAACGACGACGAGAATTTATTCATAAGAATCATCCGAGAGGGACAGCTCGCGAAATCTCTGAGAAACGACGGCGTTTGCCATTGTCGTCGGCCAAGGTCGAAGACACACAACGAGCTGTGACGTCATCGAGGAACTGTTTATTGCAACCTTGAATCGAGAACGGAATCTACACTTCTTCGAAAATTACTAGGGAACGACGGAAATGAATTTCATTCTGAATTCAACAACTAGAGTTATACTTTATTGACAATGGATTCAACAAGAATGAGGATTACGCCATTCGACGTGAATTTCATTACGTTGAAATCTTGTTCTCGAAAGAGCTTAAGAAATATAATGTATAACGTAAAATCTCTTTCATAATCAATTTTTTTCTTATTACAAGCGAAAAAATACAACAAATCGTAAGGAAGAATAACAAAACGCTTATCTTACGACCGAAGTAATTACAAGAGAATTATTACAAATGTGTCAAGTTCAGAGCAAGAACAAAATAAAATAATCACAATATATGTTATAATTTTTAACTCGTTCAATACAATTTCTTTAATTGTGAACGTGTGATAATCCGTTCAACAAATATAATAATTCTGTACTATCTATAATATGTACTATCTAAATTTTAAAGTGAATCTCTAAAAAGTGAAATTTTATTCTTAAAGATTGAAATTTGAGCCTTTTTTAAAACTCAGACTTTTTTAAAGTTCACTTTTTAAAGTGGGATTACACTAAAAAAATATTAGAAACATGCTGTTAGAAAACAAGAAGCATATTATAATATACAGAGTATATCTGAAATAACGTTCACTAATCAGTGCTATTCCTATAACAAAAAGCTGAGTCGAAAAATCCTCTACCATTTTGTAATTTTTGTAATATTTTTTTTTAGTTACCCAAATAAACAAAATCAACGTATAAGACAATTTTAGGATATCTTTAAGAGTTTTTTAAGAAACATCATTTTCAAAACATTTCACAAAGAACATTGAAAGATATCTTAAAATTATCCTATACATCAATTTTATCCATTTGTTCAGCAATCTTTAGAAATTAATATCTCATTAATTATTGTGAAAATTGCAAAATTGTAGAGGACTTGTCGACTCAGTTTATTTTTATTAAAAATAGCACTATATGATTATATTTGATTAGTGGGCGTTTTATCAGATACAGCCTGTATACAAAAATAATATTCTTTGTAAAATAAGAAATAACATATAAATAAATAAATAAAATAAATAAGTATACATATGTGAGTAAATAAGTAAATATTTCATTTCGCGCAAATAAACGCGCACTTCAAACGACATGTTTTACCGACAGCGACGATTACGATAACGAGTGTGGCTCTAGGTGGCACCGCTACCTAACCTACGTTCATTGACCAGTTCGTAGTCGCTCTCAATCTGTTTCGTCCACGTCGCTTGTAGCATTCTCGGTTGGCGATCCGCGATATCGGAATTTGGAAAGTGGGTGTTGCTTCCGTCAGCCGTCAGCCGTCCATCAGCTTGCAATCAAGCGCCGAAAGTATCGCGCTATATCTAACGGGAGGGCGGAATCGCAAATAGGAAATCTCGGCGAGCCACCCTCCGTGGGAGTCATGCGTAAGTGAAACTTCAGCCTGCTCCAGCCCGCGTTCTACGACGCCGGTTTCCCGAGGAGCGCGGCAGTGACTTGGACGCGAAGGGTTAGGCGGGGGTCCACGCGTACGATCGATAATACTAACCGTTCGCAAGACATACTGAACGGATGGACATACTGGACGGTTCCAAGTGTCATTTGATAAATGGGGCGTTTTGCCTGTCGTTATAGTGTCCCAATGAATTTTTGCGTGACGTGTACGTGCTTTCACGAGCCGCACGTATTACGAATTCTTTCTATGGTTACCTAATTCAGGAAGCACTCGCTGAACGTCGAAGACATTTCTTATCAGTAAAGGAATGTCAGATTATTGTTTATCTGATTTATTTTACTTCATATGTGATTGCAGTGCCGAGTTATTTTTGGAACGTATGTTTAGGGCTACTTTATTGATTTTACCAAGTTCCCCAAGTTTCCCAGTAGAAGTTTCGAATCATTTTAGTAATTTTGTGTTACAGATTTGTAAATTTATTCCTTGAAAATTGAATTGAAACTTAGAAACCCAGTAAGCAAACTGTCTGCAGAGTGCCAGCAGATTGGCAGCAAATTAAATCTGAAAAATGCAGTAGAATCTGTATTCTATTAAGGTCTTGTTCTGTCGACATAACCATGATTCTTATATCATAAACATAATTTGGTGGCAATTTAGTAGCAGAAATCGAGTAGAATCTGTGAAACGTAGTCTGTTTAGATTTCTGCTGCTAATTCGTCAAACTGTTCAAATAGTTTCTAGCAATTTGTTAAGCCATGTAGAAATATATTTATATTTTTTTTATGACGTTTTGTTACACACATCTGATATATAATAGACCAGATAAAATTCACCAGCAGACACTTTGCAATGTTTTTACAAGCAAACTTAGCTAATTGGGAATTTTGTTGTACTGAATTTGTTGTATATACTTAGAAAGAATTGTAATATATTACAATAATTTTTGTTGCAGATTGATTTTAACTCAAAAAGCTAGCTCTGCCCTCTGTCAAGATGATAGGGGGTCTATTTGTTTACAACCATAAAGGAGAGGTGCTTATCTCCCGAGTGTATCGGGATGATATTGGCCGTAATGCAGTGGATGCATTTCGCGTCAATGTCATCCACGCGCGACAGCAAGTGCGCTCACCTGTAACCAACATTGCCAGAACATCGTTTTTCCATATAAAACGCGCTAACATTTGGTTAGCTGCTGTCACCAAACAAAATGTTAATGCAGCGATGGTATTCGAGCTGCTGCTGAAGATCATAGATGTTATGCAATCGTATTTTGGCAAGATTTCAGAAGAGAACATCAAGAACAATTTCGTGCTTATTTACGAGCTGCTCGATGGTTAGTATTAAAGTTTGATATTTTAACAGTTATATTATGTGGCTTTTTCCTTTTTTGGAATTTTATTGATTTTTCCTTTTATTGAGAGAGAGACTTTTTTTTTTTTTTACAGAGATACTTGACTTTGGATATCCACAGAACTGTGATACAGGTGTGCTGAAGACATTTATCACTCAACAAGGAGTGAAATCAGCTACCAAGGAAGAACAAGCTCAGATAACATCGCAAGTCACAGGTCAAATCGGATGGAGGCGAGAAGGCATCAAGTACAGACGTAATGAGCTCTTTTTGGATGTACTTGAATATGTGAATCTATTGATGAGCCCTCAAGGTCAGGTTCTTAGTGCGCATGTTGCTGGAAAGGTAAATTCTCTAAAGAAAATAAAATAATTCAGCAGAGCTTTTACAAATTCCTGATAAAAAATTGTTTTTTAGGTGGTAATGAAATCCTATTTATCTGGTATGCCAGAATGCAAGTTTGGAATTAATGACAAGATTGTTATGGAGGCTAAGGGCATGAAAGGAAGCGGCGGATTAGGAGGTGGCGGTGATGATCCCACAGGAGCTAGATCCGGCAAACCGGTTGTTGTTATTGATGACTGCCAATTCCATCAGTGCGTTAAGCTTAGCAAATTCGAGACCGAACATTCCATTAGTTTTATACCACCGGATGGTGAATTCGAGCTGATGAGGTAAGACACGAACTTTAATACATTAATTATAATAAAATTTTTATTGCAGATTGAATTTGACTTGAAAGTCTAGCTCTGTCAAAGAATTTATGTGTAATTCTTTTTGATCACGAAAATATATATATAATCGTGGATATAAAGATTATTTTTATTTACAGATACCGTACCACGAAGGATATATCATTGCCTTTCCGCGTAATACCATTAGTGCGCGAGGTGGGCCGAACGAAAATGGAAGTCAAAGCGGTTTTGAAATCAAACTTCAAGCCCTCGTTGCTGGGACAGAAGATAGAAGTGCGCGTACCGACGCCGTTAAACACTGCCGGTGTACAACTGATATGTTTGAAGGGTAAGGCGAAATACAAAGCATCGGAGAACGCGATTGTTTGGAAGATCAAGCGCATGGCTGGCATGAAGGAGACGCAGTTGTCCGCCGAAATCGATCTACTAGAGACGGACACGAAGAAGAAATGGACGAGACCACCGATATCAATGAATTTTGAGGTGCCATTTGCGCCGTCTGGCTTCAAGGTGCGCTACTTGAAAGTTTTTGAATCCAAATTGAATTACTCGGATCATGACGTGATAAAATGGGTTCGTTACATTGGTCGCAGCGGCTTGTACGAGACGCGGTGTTAATGATTCCGAATCTCGATATTGAGGCATAAATAATTGTAAAGAAGTAATCTCATTGCAGAAGTCACGACTGCGAGTATCGATATGGCTATTTCTCGTTATTATTTCATTGTAGCGCATATTCGAAGCGACGATCTGAAATTCAACAATCGTTCGAATGGTTAATTCCTAATCGTGCACGATACGTAGCGATGGAAAATGTATCGAAAGAAGAATTCCATTATTAGCACAAAATTTCTGTGTAATTGTAGAAAATTTTTTTTGTATATTATATAGCGTATTAGCAAGAGTGACGTTCATTTTCATTTGTTAGGAGAAAATGCAATGTTGTATTAGGAGAAAATTTTCAAACGAAAAAATACAACTAGATTCCTACTTGTGAAAAGATGTTGAACGGAATATATCATGATAATCGGTATCAGGCGGATTATTTCCTTTGTGCCAATTTTTCAGTCGTCCATTTTATTCACATCGATTCTTAGCTGTATGTCGCACCATGCGTGGTGAATGATATGAGCTATAATCAGATTTTGTTAATTTTTTGAAGTGAAAAATTTGTTATTGAAGATGACGATAATTAGGTATAATCATGAATTGTTTATATATATATATATATATATTTACTTGAATTATTTAATAAGATTTGTATTTTTTTTGCTTCGTTTTTACGCCGAAATGATCATTATAAGTTTTTAGTATCACATAATTCCACAATCTAAATAATTAAAAAATCGATTCGCCCCACTGGAATTAATACAGTTATGAGGATAATCTATATTCAAGAAATATAAATATATTTGTAGGATTATTATACATAACGAATGTTTTTTTCGGAGCACATTATGAATTTCTGTATTATATATGTATTAATATATATCTATATACGCAAATGATAATTATTCATTTCTTGTGTAACAATGTATGGAGTTACGGCCTCTTTGTTACTGGAGTTTGAGCGGAACTGACCAAATCCTATGTACTAGGGATTATTCGGTACAAGCTTGCGATGCGCTCAATGAAATGTAGAATGCTTTTAATCTGTTATCCGTGCATGAGAATAAGAGTAGAAAGAAGCATCGATCGATTGTACGAGCGTGATTGATTTCGTCTCTCTAAAGGAACGCTCGAATGCGTAATGAAATATATGTGTAAAATAAATTATGCGTTAAATTTAATTATCCTGCTTTCTTTAAATTATCATCCTCAGCATTACATGCAACAAAATTAATTTGTGAGAAAGAATGCAAAATCAATAAAATATATACGAGTATATAATTTACTTAGAAATTAGATTTTACATTGGAGAGCTATAAAATGTAAAGGTCTGTTCTTTTTCATTGAACTTCAAAGTATCCTCGGTATTATGTGCAACAAAATTAACTCGTGACTCAAGACATATACAAAATCGATAAAATGTAATTTAATTAGAAATTAGATTTCACATTGAAGAGTAACATAGTAGCGCCTGCAAAGCACAAAACACTTATATACACTTTTTAGCGCCTTTTTAATGTTTTGTAGGCGCTGTTTGTTATTTGGACCGACTATAAAATTTAAAAGTCTGTTTTTTTTTTAAATTGAACTTGTCGCGTAGTTCATCTTTTCCTCTTTTTTTTCTCCAACATTTTCGAACGAAACGAAAAGAAAAATAAAAGGGAGATGAACCGTGCGAAAAGTTTAGCTAAAAAAAATAAGCGTTAAGTAAAGTGCTATTCAGGATAAGAACGCAATAAATATAAAGCAGTCAATGCTCACCTTTAATCGGTGATTATTTACGACTTTAGATTCGCAAAAAATATTTTTAAGATGATCGATGAGATATGGAATTGTTCATGTCTTAAAAGAAATTTAAAATAAGTATGAAAAAACTTGAACTTTCGAAAACTGACTTTGAAATGCGCGCTACTCGCTATTCTCGAAATATCGAATAAATGTCGATACGCGCGCGACTTCTCGCCGGAGCAGTACATCGAACATTTTAAACAAGGCGACGCCTTGAAACGTTAGACGTTAAAAAAGTGTTGATTTTAGAATATAAAATTTTGTGGGTAATAAACTAGTCAGGTAATAACGGTTCTACTCTTACTTTCTTCTGTTTCGTCAATTCTGTTTTCGGAACGAATTTTTATTTCGAATAATTACGATCTTGATTAGACAACGTGACATTTTTCAACATGATTCATGATCGTTCTAGACTCCTGAGAAATACCATGGGCGATACATTGCGCATCGTTTGTCATACGACAGGTGAACAACTTTCTTTTTCTTTCTTCACGTTATAAGAAATTTAACTAAAAAGATCTAGTAGTGCTGTCCAAGATTTGTAATTCTAGGCATTGACTTGACGCGTGACAGCGATGTGTTTTCAGGCCAGTGTAAGAATATCTTTGCATCGTGATTCAAGTTTATTTTCCGTTTTCCGCTTTCCGTTTTTTTACCTCCTGTAAGAAAAAGGAAAACGATAGAACACAATTACAAATATTGGTCAATACTCCTGAATACTGATCGTATCTCTGATGAAAATAAAAATCAGAGCGTAAGTCGAATGTAATGGGAGAATAATAAAAGCATGAATGCCTCTTTTCGTTGTTTCAATTTTCGTCTTCTCGAAGCTTCGTTTACGCTTCTATTACTCTCCCACTATATTCGACTTACGCTTTTTTATTTTCACCATGGATACGAGACACTTCGGTTACATCCCGTACAGCACAGAAGCTTACAATAACATTTGCAATATTACAGTATATTACTGGAACGTTGCAATCTTACTACAATATTGCTGAAATGATCTCTGCTGTATGGAGTACGATTGCCATTGTCAAGATAACGCTCTAACGTTTCGTGTTTACATTTACAGCGCGCGATAACGTCATCGCCTTCCATTCCACGGAAACTTGGCGGGAAACGCTTTGAATTTCTGCCCGCGAGGTTTCTCGTCTACGTCCGCCCTGGCGCGTCCGCGACGGCACAGAGCGCGATGACTGTTACCTTGGAGCGGCGCATGCGGTCCACGCTCGCCTCGCACCGCTCCGCTCCGTGCACATACAACGTATACGTGTCGCACGTATACCTGTCATGGATTCCGAGGATCGACCGCGGCCACCGCGGGCACGCGTGATCGCGCGATTCCCTGCGTGAGAGTGTCGCGCATCGCACGCACGCACGCACACACGCACGCACGCACGTACGCACGCACGCACGCCGAGCCGACGGACGGTGTCCGAGGTGTGCATGAGAGAGCACAATCGGACAAGACTGCCATCTTCGTCGCCGCCGTCGTCGTCGTCGTCGTCGTCGTCGATCATGAGCTTCGCGGTACCGTCGCGCGGAGGAAGGTGCCGTCGTCGCCGTTGGTGAACAAGCTGCTGGGAGAGACGCCTGGGAGAGTCGCGCCAATACCGCGCATCGGGAAGCGCGGCGTGCCGAAATGATTACCTTCATCGGCGACGGGCCTTCTGTTCTCATTCGGAGCACGGATCCCGTGAGTATCTTCTGCCACATATCGCTTTTATTTCTCTCTTTTTTTTTTCTTTTTCACGCGTTAACAAATCCTCTAGAATGTCACCACCCTCTGATAAATAGAGAGTCGCTAAATACGAAGAGAACGGGGGATGTACAGAGAATCGAGTGCGCGCCTATCGAGAGACTGCACGGAGGAATTACGTCCCCATGGGTGAACGCATAAAAGTCAACGGAACGTCAAAATGACTTTGTTTTATCTTGACTTTTTTATACGACGTTAAAATAAAGTCATTTCAATTTTCTCTCAACTCGGTGCGCTCCTTGGGCGAGCGTGTGCGTGCCGCCGCGACGTCGCCGTCGTGTTCGCGGCTTCGCCCGTCCGCGTGGCGGCTTTATGGTCGTCGCTATTTTTAGAGCATATCGTAAACCGACGGCCTGCCGCCGCCCGCGAGGAAAGAATCTCGCGTTTTGTCCGCGCAGGCACGTGCGGCGAACCATATGGACCATATTGGTCGCGGGCGGATTCGAGGCGGATGTCCTAGGACGATCGCAAATATTACACGTTCATCGTCGACGGCGTGAATTTTTGGCGGGAACGTCGTTGGTGGACCGTCGAACGTGGACATTTCTTTGTAGCGTGCTAGATTCCTGCGGCTCCGATCGATGGGAGAACAATCAGAGAAAAACAGGTTTTGCTAATCGAGAACTTATTGCGACACTGTGTTTCATGCTCTAACTTCGTTCATAATCTATTTCTGCATGGAAGAGAAATGATGAGTAGCATTAGTCTCTCGAAATAGAATCTAAATTGCTAATTCAATATATTCTAACCTTTAGAGGGCAGGGTCTATTTTTAAAGTATCTTACAGCTTTTCTCCTTGAATAAGATTTGTTGTATTTCATTTCATTGTATTCTTTGTTGTAGTAAGTAGTTCATTTCATTGTATTCTTTGCCTCAAAGTATAACACTATTTCAACGCCACTATAATGTTCGTTTTATGAAGATTAATAAAATAAATAATGGCGTATTTATTTTAATTAGTACATCATTGAATTAACAAGATTGAATTTACAAACTTCCATTTCTTATTGAATTAACAAGATTCAATTTTCAATTAGACTGCTGTCAGCCAATGTTGTAAATATAACATTTTTTGCTCTTATTTTTTTTTTAACTGCTTTCAATTTTTTAAATGTAAATAACAGAATATATTTTAAATTAAAAGCTTTAATGCTTTTCTAAATGGAAACTAAAAGTGCGCTTAACTTTTGCAAACGTATATAATAAACAAGTTTCTCTATTTAAAGATTAATTCACATGAACATTAATTTTAATCGTTTGCTCTCTTATTAAAATTGTATAAATTGAAAATATCATTAAAATGTTTGATAATACGTTTTGTTATTGCATTGATCGCAGGATACAATAATAATATTCCGCAAATTTTATATGATTTTGCATGGGTTTTATCTTTCAAGGGCGAGTAATATTTTTAAAAGATAATTCCTGTCGGAAAAAGTCGGAGTCATGCTCGCGCTTCAAAAGAGTTTCGCGTGTAAGTTCAATATCTTATCGTCCGTATAATAAATTTAGTTTTCGAGACAGTAGCTATATGAAAAATAAACTTTAAGTAAATTATCGCATTTTTATTATCCCAGGAGCAGATCAAGCTGGAGATAAATTGAGTTTAGGTTTTGTAAGCTTCCGTTATATAGTGTCTATGAAATAATTTCTTTTTTTGAAAATATTTGTATGTACTTTACGTATAATATGTTATATTTATAGAACAGGATGCATGTTATCTCATTAACTGTTCCATATTTAATTATGCTGGGAATCCCAAGAGTTATCCGATCTTTAAATATCTCGGTCGTAAATAAACGT